GTGTGTATCCTAAGCAGGTATGCTTTTACTTCATATTTGCACCAACTAAAAGTAGCCCCAACTAAGGAATCAGCTGGACCAGATGCATGTCTGCATCCTCAGTTTGTACTCACAGTTGTGAGAAGAAGAAAAGGTCACCTGTCATTTTTTCTGTGTTGAATCTGTATTTGTTGAAGTGCCTCCATGTGGTTCTATGGCCCATCCCATGGGCACTTTCCCTCTGTCATAAATGATGACACAAACTGACACTTAAGAGGAATTTCCATGACTCTTTTCAGATGGCAACTAATGAATTGTCAAACCAACACAAGGTTGGGAGAAGGGCATAGTAAGTGGTGTGATACCCCCCCCACTTTCTCCTCCCTCTCTCCCCCCCTCCTTCCCCACAAATCCCACCTGCAAATCACCTGGGCTCCCAGTTCTCTTGCTATAGTGACAAGATGGCACGAATGACCAAACACGAGTGTTGCCTTTTATACAATGATGCGTTGTGGACCACATCCAAGCCAACATATTTAGCAAACAACAATGACAACTCCAGGGAAGAGGCGTTTTACCCTTGGAATGACCACCAGTGAAAAGTAGCCCCTTTCTGTTTTGTGGGCTGTTTCGCTTCTTTATTGCAGTCTCTAACGTCTGCAGCAAAGAGGCATTCTGAGTTAAATATGGATCTGACAAAACTGAAAATGAAACTGTCCCAGGATGGCATTTTTACAAAAGAGTTTTAGATTTTTATCTCTCTTCCACCAGATTAACTTTTCTACTTAAGAGAGGCACTGTCTTATGAGTCAGAGCAAATGTTGAAAGGTTTAATGTAGCTTTTAGTCACAGTTCCGTAGCGAGGCCACAAAATGGCCTTTCCCCTCCTGCTCAGTCTCAGCAGAGCTGACTGGATTTTTGGCAGCCCCTGATTTCAGAGGTAGCAATTCTACAGGTTTATGTATATAAAAGAACCAGGTTTGAGCTGAAAGTCCAGTTTCAAAAACCCTCATGGCAGCCTCCCCCCTCCCCTTTTGGCAGATAGTCTGAAGAAAATGTGCAAGTAGAGTCACCGGTGATATTTCACATAAAGCAAAATTCAAAGTGAATTTTGTGGCAGGGCCTGAGGTGCAGCCAAGGAATTTCAAATTCAATAGAGCTAGTGAACCTTCCCAAGGGGCTCCTGTGCCTTCCTAGGTTGACAAAGGAATTCAATTTTTAAAAAGCTTTTTAAGAACATTAGAAGAACTCTCTCTCTGTTGGATCAGACCAAAGGTCACTGTAGGTTGAGGCCACCATCTTTATTTCCACCAGATGTTTGCAGAAAACCCATGTGTAGTCTGAAGGCAACATTTCGGTTTATACCCCATCTCTGCCCATGCCGATTGTATTCAGTGATCAATAGGCTCTGGATATAGACATTTCTTATAGCCACCCATCACAGACAGGCCCATGAATCTGTGACACACCATTGATCCTCCTTTCTCTTTTAAAGGCATTTGGCAGAGCAACCCAAACCCGCTTTGCGCCAGGCTGAGGGAGGGGTTAGATTCACAGAAGTGCCCCTCTGCCTAACTCCGCCAGCCTCCATTGGCCTCCCACCCATTGCTACCTGTGGATTGACTCTGGTATCGTTCTACTGAGGTGGAGCTCCACCTGCTGCCCACCAAACAAGTGGATGGAAGCAGGGCTGGCTTGAGGTACTTTGGCACCTGAGGCAAACCACAAATGGTGCCCTTCCCCCACAACCAGGGAAGATGGGCTGAGTAAAGATCAACACCTGAAACAAGGTGGGAATAAAGATCTCTATCAGGAACCAGGGAGGTAATCAAATTAACCATACCCAGTCTTGGGGATCAAAGACCATTGCAGGGGAGAAAGGGGCTGGCTTTGAATCAGAGCCCAGGAGACCCCAGAAAGTGGTCCCAGCCATTTCCTCCCTAGAGGTGGAACAAGACCAGCAGTATCCTCTTTTCACTGAGGGAGGGGGGAGGGCGGATGAAGAGGTGGTAGGGTTGGCCTCCAAGGACAGCACAGCTGATGCCTTCCTTGGAGGCAGGACCTACTGCCCCTTTGGATCTTGTTGCTTCTTTGGATCCTACTGCCTGAGACCTTTGCTTCACCTTGCCTCGTGAGTGGAAGTGCATTGGATCCCTACCAGCGGAAACCCCCCAAATAGGTCCCCTTGGATCCTTGGCAAGGCCCTATTGCTGTGCAGCAATCTGCTTGCCCCTCCTACCTTATTATTATTATTATTAAATTTTGCATACTGCCCTATAGCCATAGATCTTAAGGTGCAGATGGACTGTGAAGGTGGCGGTGGTTCCATCCCTCTGGAAAATTCCACCAGGGTGGAGTAGGTTTGGGATTGCAGCCTAAGCCATTGACCATCACCACATTTCAATTATTATGCTCCATCAGTCAAGGCCGTCCTGTCAGGTAAGCTCAATTACATGATACTGGGAGATGAGAGAGAAGTCAAGCCAGGCTTGCCATTGCTGGTAGCAGCTCATTTCCCACCACAACTCTGTGCAATCCATTCTCTGCAGGTTGTGCAAGAGGACAGGAAGGTGGAATCCAAGCCACACAGGAAGAAAGTTCATTGTCTACCGTCTACCTTTCACCTTTGCTGCAGAGCAGAAAGAGAACGAGGAGAGGTCAGAGCAACCCTAAATTGGCCAGGTCTGCTCCCCCATGATTGGTCACCATGGCCCAGGTGACCTTGCCCCTTCTTCCTTAGGAAATTCCTGTCAGCCTCTTTCAGGAAAGTGGGTAATGGTGCAAACTCACCTCTGCTAAAAGATGCTTCCACATTGCTAATTTGCCTGTTTGTCCTGACAGCTCCAGGGCTCCCACAGCGCAGTTCTTCCAAAGCTTCTTAGATTTGATTTCAGCATACTATTGATATTACAAAGAGCACAATCACATCCAACCCCAACACCATTTCCCCCCAAGTTTTGCAATGGAGAGTTGCTACAGTCATTTTCTATTAGCCTGATGAGAGATACTTTCAAGAATGCCACTTCCCTGATCTCTTTGACTTCAACTTTTTTATTATTATGCTAACGGCTGCGCTGCACGGACTGGTTTGGCTTTACTTTCACATTCTCTTTCTTTCACTCAGCGTTCTTCACTGAAATTGATGGGGATTTGGGCAAGTGATCCATGTGTCTCATTTCTGGTATGGATGAGCTGCCTCATTTTTATCTCCTTCAGGGAAGATTTAGAGTACTGCTTAAAGTTTTAGACTATTGTGCAATGAATATATATATATATATATATATATATATATATGGAAAATCTTTTCAGGGAGCACTTTGGGCTGGTAATCATTTGTGCAATGGAATTTACGCTTGCAAAGTCACACTCCCTGCCAATCACTTAGATGCAGGTCATAATACCACATTTGTTTCATCGGAGGCAAGGGTGAAGGATGCAACCTCTTTCTCGGAAACAAATAAAAATGATCAGCATCCAAAAGGCCATGTGAGATGGTTATGATGATGGCAAATCTCTGAGTAAATGTTCGATGAGTTGTATAATAGGAACAGTTCAAGGCAAAGTGCTCTCAAGTGGAGGGAATGTGCATCTTAAAAAAGAAACAACTACCCACAATTTTTTATACAGTACAGCCCTGTAACATTAATTTCTTCGGTGGAGTAAGGCTGGGCTTCTTGCTCACAGTGTGAGAAGTGGGTTTCTCCACACAAAGTGCATCTCAGTCTGTTCTCCCAAGTCCCACCCCCCTTTTTTGAAGCATCACTTAAGCTGAGTGCTTTACACAGAGCAGAATTGATAGCTCGCTGTTTTTCCCCACACCCAGCCTTGGCCAGCACTCCAGGAGCTACATGGCAGTGGGGGCCACACCACATTCTGTCACACACGTACAAAATACATACACAGATCCTGAGCTTCCTCCTCCTCAGCTGATCTATGCAGATCAGCTGAGAAGGGTGGAAATTGCCCCCTCCCTGCTCATCAAATAATCAATCCTGGAAACTACAACTAACCCAGAATGTGGCAGCTAGACTGGTGACTGGGAGTGGACACTGAGACCATCTAACACTGGTCCTGAAAGACCTACATTGGCTCCCAGTATGTTTCTGAGCACAATTCAAAGTGTTGGTGCTGACCTTTAAAGCCCTAAATGGCCTCGGCCCAGTAAACATGAAGGAGCATCTCCACCACCATCCTTCAGCCCAGACACTGAGGTCCAGCTCCGAGGGCTTTCTGGAGGTTCCCTCACTGCGAGAAGTGAGGTTACAGAGAACCAGGCAGAGGGCCTTCTCGGTAGTGGCACCCGCCCTGTGGAATGCCCTCCCACCAGATGTCAAAGAGAAAAACAACTACCAGACTTTTAGAAGACATCTGAAGGCAGCCCTGCTTAGGGAAGTTTTAAATGTTTGATGTTTCATTGTGTTTTTAATATTCTTTGGGGAGCCACCCACTCTGGGATGGGCAGGGTATAAATAAATATTATTATTACTACTACTACTACTACTACTACTACTACTACAATCTGATGACCAGGGAAGGGGCAACTTGCATTCCCATCTGGATGCTGGGCTGCATGGTGAGGTTGAAATCCCAACTCCCAAAACTGCATTAACGGGACAGTTGACAAATTCATGGTCTACCACTGGCTCTTGTTGTGATGCTCATGCCGTCACTGAAAAAGTGTTTATGTGCATAGGAATGCTTTTGCTCATGTGTCCCACTTGTGGGCTTCTCACAGGCAACTGGTTGGCCACCTCAAATTAGATGGGCCTTTGGCCTCACCCAGCAGCATCTTTCTTCTGTTCTCATCATGTATATTACTTTAGTTTTATGAGCCAGTGTTCCCAGAGAGGAATAATTATGAACGTTAGGCTTCAGTTTGGTTTTCAGTGCTGCTGACTTTATTTAATTTATTTTTTATGTTCACCACAAAGTAATTCGCTTATGCTAAAACCATTATAGTAATTTGCTATTACCAAACTTTTTCAAAAGTGTTGGGCTTAAAAATAAACTCAAAAGCTGCATTTTGTAAAGTGCTTTTTTTATTATTAGGCATTGTCAACTGCTCAGTGAAGTGCTTTCATGCAAGCTCGACTACTGTTAACCTAGAAAAATCACTGCTATTCAGTACATAAAAGTCAGTCATCAAAAGTGCTACGTGTTTCTAAAACTGAACCAGAGCCTGGTTTCGTTTCCAGTCACGTTGGAATATTTCAGTGAATTAACATTGGCGCACCAGCTCACTATTTCTGTAGAAGTTCTCTGAATGCACATCAGCTCAACACAAGCAAGCTGAAGTCCTATTGATTCCAATGGGAGAAACTTAGCTTACTGTTTTCTCATTGAGCTAAATGGGACTTTTAGTGTGCAAATCTATGCAGGTAAGCCATATTGAACTTAGTAGTACTTACTTTTAAGAAAATATGCAAAGGATCTTGCTGCATACTGCTTAACTTTGGTTGGATCATGCACCTTATTTTTGGTTTTCAGGCAACATAATGTATACACTGGATTCAAAAATGTGAAGGCACATCATACCTCAACGACAAAAACGATATGTATAATGTGCAAATGCTGGATAAATGGATTATGGTGCATTATATGATGATCTATTTCAACCAAGGACTCTGATTCAATATTTCTTTTCTTTAAAAAAATGAAAAAGAAACAATGCTACTCCTATAGCTAAGAAAGCAAATGTACATACCATATCATGAAACAACAGCTCATTTACTTACAGTAATAACAGTAGGTGAAAAAAATATCTTTAGAAACCTTTGTCTTCCTCTTAGAGCACACCAGGTGCACCATCTCCAAGTTTATTACAACAGATAAAGCATATATTTGAAAAAGTGCAGTAGAAGAGAAGAATATTGTAGCCTGTTTTTCCAGGGATGGAGTCACACATGCACGCTCATCTCTTGAATGCAACACTAACACAATGATCTACAGCATGTGTGAAGGGACCCATCATAAGAGCTAAAACCACAGTGAGAATTTTCATACACGCAATGTCACCTCAAACTAGATACATTTCAGTTCACACCTTTAGCCAGAGCTATCAAACATTGGGTAAACAGGAGATGCACTTGCATGTATGAAGTAGCCCTTAATAAACATTTTTTAAAAATACAGATTATCTTTGTCTGAACAGACATGACAGATATTTCTCAGCTATACATGAATTCCAATACACCTCCAGCAAATTAAGTGTAAATCATTGGTGAAATAGAGTACAAATAAAGGTTTTCTGGTGCGACCTCGTGGTTTAAGTGTTTACAAAAAGATATGGCAGGTAGCCGGATGTGAAAGGTATATTTCATAAATAATGGATATATAAACGTTTAACCACAGTTAACAAATTATGCTCGGTCAATTGGACTGCATTTACTCATTATCATCATACTGTGTATTTCCTTTAAATTGATCTCCATCAGCTGGCTTCCTCATCTTGACATAATCTTCTTGAGAAGACAGAACAGCTCTACAGCTTGAGTCCAGTGCATTTATGCTTGTATCTTTCTGCATAATTTCCTTTGCTTGACAGATATTAATACGACCATTCATATCGTCTTTTGAATGTGGTCTGGAAACATCTTGGGTTGCGCCAAAAGAGCCCAACAGACCAATGCTGTCATTGCGGGGTAAAAAAAAAGTGTCTGCGTTACCGGATGAAATAGTATTTAACTTTTTAGCATGTCTGACTGCTTCCCTGGTGCCTAGTAACTCACTATCCAAAGGATATGTTGCATTAGCGACCTCCTTTAAAATGACGGCGTTGCTAGTGCGTGGTTTTTTACAACTGGCAATTTTATTATTATGTCGAATAAGATTATCTGAGGTAGTGGTAACTTTCCTTTTGATGCTTTCTTCAACGAGATTTAAAGCCTCAGTGGAGTAGCCCATGTCAGGGTCAGTTCTGCTGAGCTGTTCTGAGTTTCCTGTGTCTCTCTCTAGCCTTTCAAATGCATATTCATAGGGAGCGCTCTTTGCGTGGCTCAATTCTCCTAACAGAGAGTGCATATCACCAAGATATACTTCCTGTCTCCCAATGTTCTGATGCGGAAAAGCAGATATACAACTGTTGTTGTTGTTGTTGTTGTTGTTGCTGCTGTTGAAAGTGATATCCTTATTATTCGGCAATATGATGTCCTCATCTGTGTTAGTAACTGGTATAACTTCCGCAACATCAGCCTTGCTATTTCTTCTATTCATCTCCTTTTCTGTACCCTTCATAGTCGTGTTACCACATTCTTTCACATTCTTTCCACTTTCCTTCTCCTTTTCTGATTCTTCAGCTTCACTTGTTTTCCCTTGCCTAGTTTCATTTCCCCCCTTTTTGCCTACTTCGCATGTCCTTGTCATACTGGTATTTGTGGCTTCCACTCCCTGAGATGCAGGAGTAGGAAAGGGCTGGCCATTTGATTGCGAGTCAACAGTTTCACCTCTCTTTTTCTCCTTGGTTTCCCAAATATAGTCATCGCCATTTGCCAGTTGATGCTGGTTTCGGTCACCCACACATGGATTTAGACAGGTCCTGACGGCCTCTTGTTCAGGAACTTCTGGTGGCCATTTTGGTTTATTCACTTTAACCTCCTCCTCAATAGAAAATGATTTTTTGGGTGTTTCCATAGAAGGAGGCCATGTGACGTTTAGTTTTCCCCACTCTGTGTTTTGTTTTAAATTCTCACCCAAAGTTTCACGATGCCCTCGCCGCCTGCCAGAATTTGAAATTTGATCGGTTGGTTTATCTGTCTTTGAGATGGGTGGATGGACTTCTTGAGCACGAACACAGCCAATGGGACCTTTTTGATCTTTGGGAATCCATAATTCTTTATGTTGCTTGTGTCCAAAACCTTCATCATAATTTCCTTTGGATTTGAAAAGTTGCTTAAAATGGGGTTTACAGTATATTTTTCCATGGAGAGAAGCGTAATTTCCCAAGCTGCCAAATCAAAGAGAAAGTGTTTTATGGCATCTATCTATCACAAATGCTCCAAGAATATCCAATTTCAGTTGACATTTTAAGTACCTATAAATAACAGTTTCTATAAATATGGCCCTAACTCATATCATTTTAGAAAAGAAATAATAAATGCATTTTATTTAATGTATTCTCAGAGATTATAGATTCGATGTATTCTAACAGATTATGTCTACTAGCAAGTGATATAACATTCACTTTCAATCTTGGTTTTATAACTTTGTTTTAAATGTGGAAATTGGTTTTTCAGGGCCATCTGCTATCTTCCTGTGCAAGAAGTGGCACAAACCATAGCAATGTGCAGCACTAGATAGAAATTGACTCGCTGAGGGACGACGACGAATGAGGAGGAGGCGGAGCTGGCACCACAGCATTAAGCTGCTACACACGCCCCCCGGAGGCACCTGGTTGGCTGCCTCCGGTGGGCATTGGCTGCCTCCGGTGGGCGTGGGCGCCAGGCAGGTAAGGAGGGGAGGGGGGTAAGGCCCCCTACCAGGGGCGGAGCTCGGTCTCCCGCCCACAACCACTCCCCTCTCTTCCAGGGAGGAGAGTCTTTGTGAGGCAGTGTGGAATAAGAGTAGGTTGAAGGTGCCTATTCTTTCGACGGATCAGTCTTCAACTCACTATTGGGTTGTGGCCTGATCCAAAGGAGGTTGCAACAGGAGCACCACCACCATGCAAATATATGGCCACAAGAAGAAGAAATGAGTCCTCACATGCATGCCTGGATAGCTCAGTGGGTTAGAGGGTGGTGCTGACAATGCCAAGGTTGCAAGTTTGATCCCTGCATGGGGCAGCTACATATTCCTACATTGCAGGGGGTTGGACTAGATGATCCTCAAGGTCCAACACCACAATTCTATTGTTCTTTGTTTGGGTTAAAAGTAGGTCATGGGTCTCCAAAGGCTGAAGACACCCGCTTTAGAAAAACATATTAAAAGAGACAGAGAAGATAAATCTGTGGGTTGGGCTAGTCTGGTGTGAAAGAGTGAGAGAATTTGTTAAGAGGAGTCAGTCAAACAGTTGAGATAATCAGTCAGAAGGTATTAGGAAGGAACAGGCCGGTAAAGAAACTGAAGTTAAGATACTGACAGGAATATTATCTGAGAAACCATAAACTTGTTAATGTTTGTAAAATAAACTTGTTTATTTGGTTCACTTTTAACAACTGTCTGGACTCAGTGTTTTACCCGAGAGTAACAGGTTGGTGGCAGCGGGGAAGCGAGCACAGTGGTGGCACAGGGATCAATAGACCGTTAAACGCCCGGGGATCCTGTGTGATGGCCACCACCAAGGAACATCAGACCTTGCATCTGATAGCCACACATTTCCTTGCGTGGTATGTGAGCCGGACATTTCATACATGACCCCCCAAGTGTAGAAAGAGGAACCACAACCCATTTGTACTTTCTGTTTCAACACTTTTCAGATAAACCAAGGTGTGTTTCAGATTCATTACACAAGTATTGATTAACTGCAGCGTACTGAAATACAGCACAGCAGTGCAAGCGTGGTGAGGCTGTCCAGCCACATCACTACTATTCCTGGGAGCCAAATGGGAATGGGCAACGTGGCAAGGAGAGCAGTGCAGCGCACCTCTTCTCTTTTCATTGATCTATACTTTGCTGCTTTTTCTTGGAATCATTTTACATGGTTGGTTGTTTTTTTTTTAATAATCATACATAAACTGATATATTTCTTTTCTTTGTTTTTTAATTGCATGATTGTATTACTGTAAGCTGTCCTGAGGCCTTTTGTTGAAGGACAAGTAATGAATCTTTCAACTAAATAAATATTATGAGTTCCTTGGGAAACGTGGCATATTTAGTGTCCATGTGCAATATTATTTTGCAAACATAGCAAACGGAAAATAATTTCCAGGGGACAGATCCACCCAATCATTCTTGTCGCTCTGATTCTACCTATAAGACTTACATCGCACTTTGCATCCAGTTCTGACAAGTTCTAAAATATGGAGAACCAATATCCCCCCCCCCTCCTTTAGATGGAAATATCCAAAGAGAAAGAGCTTACAGTAAGTGACCTGCCAAACGACCATTTCGGTGCTAGAATTCGGCAGGAATTCCCGGTCTGTTGACTTTTGACCCACTCTCTAGGATATCACTCATATGAAAACAGATGCCGGCTATGACAGTATTTGTATGTCAACGTGTTAATTGTTCACTTCATCTTACCTTAATTTACTGCCACAATGGTGACACCGGAAACATGATTTATGAAAGGTCTGCTTGTCGGCAACCAGGCATTCCATTGGATAGACTCTCTTTTGACAAAGTAGGCACGTTTCCTTTCCCTGAAGTTGCAGTTTCTAGAAATAAATAAGACAGGGTCTCAGAGCTATTACTCATTTTCCCCCCCTTCAAGCTCTGCACCAAATGTTTTGCCACCACTAAGAAAGCTGAAATGCTTGACTCACATTGAATTAACACCTAAGATTCCAGTTTAAAGGGCCAAATAAAATCCATGTGGCATCGTAACCTATACATCCTTGGGAGACTAGGCTCACCTGTTTACTTGGAAGGCACAGATTGCAGTTTAATATTCCAAGAGGAAGAGTGACTCATGCTTCCTACTTTTACATTTTCACTGTCATGTGCCAAGCAGGAGCTTGCATAGTGAAGCTGCATATTTCTGCAGCCGGAGCTCGCCCACACCTTCCCACTGGGGAGGCAATGCATATGTTCCCCCTTAGCACATATTTCAGTGGAAATGCCTGTTTTTCCTCTTTCACTGCATTGGGGATTTTCTGCAGGCAGCAGATCATACATTTTTAAAGGGTTGGCTCAACAGCGTTGATCAATAGTCCAAGACATTTTGTGTTATTTACTTTGTTGAATCAGATCTGTTCTCTTTGGACAACGTGGATTATTACAGTGATGTCGATCCCTTTGTGTATGTTTGTGTGGGGGGCTTGATGCTGTTTAGCAATGAAGTTGCTGCCAAGGTTTGCATTGCTGTGCTCTCTGCGAGGGACTGTGTTCCATCCAGGAATGGATGAAACCAGCTGACCAACTCCACTCCACAGTCCCACCACCTGCGTACTGAAACTATAAACCAGGGCTGACTCACCTGTGCCCCCTTCCCCAAATGTTGTTGGATTACAACTTCCATAAGCCCCAGCTAAATTTGGCCAATGTTCAGGAATGATGGGAGTTGTAGTCCAACAACATCTGGGGGAAGGGGCACAGCTTAGACATCCTTGCTAAAAAGAAGACACCAGAATAGATGACTGCAATCTGGATTTTTTTCCTTTTCTTTTTGAATTACATTTGGCCAGAAGAAGAGAGAATGGGTCTTGGAAAGAAATTTTGTTCTTGAAATACCCTATTTAGGTTGAGCTAATCTTTTGAATTATGGTACTGGAAGAGACTCTTGAGAGTCCCATGGACTGCAAGAAGAGAACAAACCTATCCATTCTTAAGGAAATCAGCCCTGAGTGCTCACTGGAAGGACAGATCATGAAGCTGAGGCGCCAGTACTTTGGCCACCTCATGAGAAGAGAAGACTCCCTGGAAAAGACCCTGATGTTGGGAAAGATGGAGGGCACAAGGAGAAGGGGACAACAAAGGACGAGATGGTTGGACAGTGTTCTCGAAGCTACCAGCATGAGTTTGACCAAACTGCGGGAGGCAGTGGAAGACAGGAGTGCCTGGCGTGCTCTGGTCCATGGGGTCACGAAGAGTCGGACATGACTAAACGACTAAACAACAACAACAATCTGTGAATGTTTTACATGTGCTCCTCTATGCTTAAATGTATTGACACTGTGGTTTTTTTTTGCATTTAGACCATTCATACAGTTCTTGGGTTGCTAATTTAACTGTTTTTAGCATTATTTAATTGGAAGAGAGAGAGAGAGAGAGAAATGCCCCCAACTCTGCCAGAAAAGGTTTAGGTAAGGCGATGGTCCCACGACTCTGATTTTCCCTGGGACCAGATTATTCTGATTCAGATTGCTCTGTTATTATATTTTTGACATTGATGTATTTACTGACATGTTGTACATATTATTGCTATGAAGCACTTTGAGCTCAACTTTGCTGTTGGAAAAGTGGCATGCAAGTAAATCAGATGAAATCCCTCACAGATGAAGCCCATCACCACTTTTATTATAGCAATTAAAATGGATTAATATGGCATCAATATCATCACCCTTTGTTTTTAGTCTCTTAGCTGTGATATAATGACCTGAAATGTTTTATTGCTGTTATTATGACCCTGATTATATTGCTTATATTTTACAAGGTTTTTAATTGTTTTAAATCTTGTACACTACTGTGGGAAAATATTTGGAATGAAGGCTAATAATTTCTTTAAATAAATAAATATCCAGGGAAGCCAAAGAGTTGTTGGGGAGGGGAGAGAAAGGGCCAGGAAAGTCCCTTTCTATGAGCTTCTTTTTGTTTCCTATTCATGGGTTCCAAGCCCATAAGTTGGTTTCACATTTACGTATACTGTAACAGAGTTTGGAAATCCCAAAATCCTATAGATGTAATCACCCTAAAAAGTTCTGGTAGTTCAAGCATTTCTGGCAATGCAATTAAACTTCCCCTGTGGTGTAGTGGTTAAGAGTGGTAGTCTCGTAATCTGATGAACCGGATTCATGTCTCCGCTCCTCCACATGCAGCTGCTGGATGACCTTGTGCTAGTCACACTTCTCTGAAGTCTCTCAGCCTCACTCACCTCACAGAGTGTTTGTTGTGGGGGGGGAAGGGAAAGGAGAATGTTAGCCGCTTTGAGACTCCTTTGGGTAGTGATAAAGTGGGATATCAAATCCAAACTCTTCTTCTTTTCTTCCTGTCCAACCCCATGAACCACTTAAAGCTGTTCCAGATGGTTGTGGAGAAACCCACAACACATTTCAGGGATGTGCAGGCAGAGAAGAGGGAGAGGAAGTTCTGTGGTGCAGCCAAAAGTGTTTACACAAGCAGAACTATTTACCTGGATAACATCTAGTGATTATATCCATAACTTCACCACGCCTTTTCACAATGTTTTTTACTGCTCTTAGTGTCTTCAGTCTCTCCTTCACTATAACATGTATTTGCAATAGTATGAATGAAGTGTTTTCACCAAATCAGTGCAATATTATTGTGCTTCCTTTCCCTGCTCCATCAATTTGTGCCCATCCCTTGGCACAAACATCACTGAGAATGCCTTCCTATGGGAGAATCATTTTTGACAATAATACCACACTCCACAGAGTAGAACTGCAAATAAATGCAACATTTTATGATGTCTTCTTTCTCTCTGTCTGGCATTCTGAGTTTCAGCCCTAAACACACTTCTATAATTGGATCATTACCACGGAGCACATTGTAAGGGTTGGGCTATAAATCTCTTTAAAGGCCTGCACATATAAAACAAAATGAAGTTGCAGTAAGGCAGGGGCAGCTAACCTGCCGAATGTTGATGGACTACAATATCCATCATCCCTGACCATTGGTCATGCTGGCAAGGGATGGTGGGAGTTGTAGTCCAACAACATCAGGTGGCTGGAGATAAGACACCCCTGCATTATGGGCATACTCTTCTAGGAAAAAGTCAAGCACTAGCCCCGTTTTTTTATAAAAAAAGAATGATGGCTGCAAAAGATCACATTAATTTTATACGTCATGCAGATCCAAAGACCTTCATTCAATTAAGTGCAAAACAAAACAAAACAACCCACACAGGTTAGCATACTTTTAAAACTGAAGGAATCAACAAAAGTATCTTAAAACAAATGTCATAGTATGTTAATTATTTTGTTCTAATTTTAGTGCTCAGGAGAATGTCATTCCCGGAAATCAAATTTAACATTTGCCTTTTTCAACCTAAATCTAGGTTAGTCCCACACTTGGCACATATATCAAAGCACATGCCTTTGGAAAGGAAAGGGAAGGAAGAAGAAAGATTTCTGAGACACAGAGAGAGTTGGGGTAAGAGGGAGGGGAAAACACCAGCAAAGAATTGTTAGTTGGAGTTATGTAACTTCACTCTTCCAATAGACACATTAATTGCACTCCATGTTTCATTGCCATGGCGCCATACTCTTCCCAAGCTGTTAATACCTGTTTCACACGCTGCATGCTTATTTACCACTGATAAACTCTGCCTCCTCGTGGAAGCTACTTCTCACTTCTGCTTCGGCAGCATCAGACACGGTGTAGCCGAGGCTTTTGAAGACTCTCTCGCTTTCTTGCCAAGTCTTCTGAAAATTCCTTAGCAGCTCTTCTGGTGAATCAGCAGCAGAAATATCCAAGATATGCCCTGAGATGACGTCTTCATAGGTTGGCGGCGCACGCTTGAAGCCAAATCCTGACTGCATCCCATCTGCACTTCGTGATGTGGAGGTGGCAGTTCTCGATTCCACGACGGTGTTCTCAAATGTATCCATGCCGGAGGAGCATTCAGTGTGGAACTTTGCATCAAAGCACACCCTGGGTTCCAAGGGATGCTCTTTAATGGCACATTGCTTTTGCTTGCAAGGTGCGTTTTCCTTGGGTTCTCTTTGCCACTTGCCTGGAAACTTTTGGAAGCTATCTAATCTCTTCTCACTCTCTTGGGAACTTTGGCTCAATTCCTCCTTCCTAACCCTGTGCCTTTCTTCTTTTATTTTACCACTGATTACACCATTCTCAACATACTTTTTCTTTGTTTTCATCTCAGCCACTGGCTTATCATGAAGTGTTCCTAACACTACCTGTATTTTATCCTCACTCTCCTTGCCTAATCTTTCAGATGCGGACAGTTCCTTCCTTATGGGAATAATCAATTCAGGGACTTCGGCCTTCTGCGCAAGACCTTGGGGACCAGTCTTGGAAACCTCAATATTTTGAGTCCTGCAGACAGGGTCCATATTTTGTCCATGTGGCTCTAAGCCTTCTGGAATGTTTCCTCCCTTTTTGGAGATGTGAGTCTTGTTTGTTTTGGATTCTTCACTAGCTTTTTTCACTGTACCAGCAGTTATTTGGGATTCATTTACGGACGACATTTTTGAAGTTAAAACATCAGATTGCCGTGCCTCAATCTTGATTTGTCGGCGGAGTGTTGCAGGAGATTTCACTATCTCTGACCTCTTTTCCACAATAGGAACTGGGGTTACTGATCGGTTTTGCGTTGCTCCTTGAGCGAGTTTTACTGTGGTGTCTTTAAGCTTGGCCAGCTGCTCAGAACGGCTTCTTGGAGGAGAGGGGGAGAGGCAGGCAGCTGGCCGCTGCACCTTAGACGTTGGTGTAGTAGACCTGGGAGGTGGTGATGGTGGAACCGGGGTACTTTCCCTTTGAACAGGAGACAAGACCTCCCTGAGAGGAGATTCAATGCATCTAGATTCAATTGTAATGTAAGTAGGTGAAGGTGCTCTCATTCTTAGGGTTGAGGGTGAAGAAGTTCTGGTTTCCGAAAACCTGTGTTCACTAACTTGCTGTTTCACCTCTCGATGTGCCCTTGTGTCTTTGATCATCTCTTTAGTCTCCTGCGATTCTTTCCTGCTTGAACCAATGCTTACTTTAGCTATCTTTTGCAATGATCCCCCAACTTTAGGAAACTCTTTTCTCGTTTTTTGGGGTTTTGTGGAATTCATGGCTGTCTGGATAGCCTCCTCAAAGGATCCAAGCATTTTGGTGGCTTGATCTTTAATCAGCGATAACTCTTCTTTCATCTTCTCAACATCATTCCCTTGTGTGAAGTAAGCTAAGTTTTGCTTCCTGTCTTGTTCTACCAACCACTCTGGAATGACATTTAAGAATGCCTGTAATGTTTTGAGCCCATTTTTATTCGGCTCAGTTTCAAACTCCTTCACTCTGGACAACACCTGCTGTACTTCCTCACGTTTCCTCAAAAACTCTAATATATCGACTGGGCTTTTCTCGTTACTCTGCAGTGATCCTCCTGGTGAAATGGATGATAATGTCTTTTCCTGTGCCAGCTCTTGTTTCATCTCTGTTGCCTTTAAAAGGCCTTTTTTCTGCTGTGTGGACTTTTCCTGGGCATATTCCTTTCCTTGTAGGCTGCTAGTTTTCTGGGACAGTTTTTTATTTTGGGCATTTGTTTCTGAAACAAATCTTTTCTCTTTCTGTGAGATAGATGTCTGTGACTCCTGATGCATATCAATTATCTTTTGCTTGACCATTTTCTCTGATTTATTGCTAACCTCGTCTTGTTTTCTTTGGATTATTACTTTCTCTTCCTTGGGGCAAGCAATGACTTGCTTCTGCTTTCTTTCCACAGCCAAGGAGACTCTTTCTTGCTTCATTTCTTCTGTCCCTGTTTCTTTTCTTTGAACTAATATTTGCTTCCCTTCACTTGAATCTTTCTCTCTTCCGTCCTGCTTGCCTTCTGTATATTTTAGGAGTCCTTTCCCCACATGCATCCTCTCATCAACGTTCACCTGGTTATTTGTCTTTGTGGTGCTTTGCTTTTTTCTGATAGAATTGCTTACATTGTCTTTCTGTTTCTCTTGAACTTCTTGCTTCACAGCATTCTGGAGGCTAGTTCCCTCTTGCTTTTTATGCATCTCAGACTCCTTGTGGGTTTCATATGAACTTTGTTCTAAGGTGGGAAGCTTGACGGTTCTTACATTGAAAGTAGGGGAGACCAGTTTGCTTTTGGGCATGTGCAAATGCTCCACATTTTTATGTTGCTCTCCTGCATGCATAGGACGTTCTTCATGGGTCTGTACCTTCTGAGAAGACACACAGTGCTTTGTTAGGTTTTCTGACTCACGCGTTGATGTTTTTTGAGTGTGTTCCTCTGCTGAGATCCTAACAATGGTTTGAGACTGTTCAGCAGCCAATACCGTTGACATAGACTGCAGTTTATTGCTTTGTGACACCACAACTTGCGCCTTTCCCTGACATTCAGGCTGAGTGGGCCGATCTGGAGCTGAGGGCAAAAGACCTGGCAGAGGGGTTTGATCCTGTTTGTCTGGTTTTAGTACTGGCAGACAATGTTCTGGCTCTGTCTGAACTGAACTTCCCGAAGCTTCACTGTTTCTTCTCATAACCACTTTGCAAACATCTTGGGTTTGCTTCTGCTCCATCTGTTCCCTTTGCTGCCTGTATTTTTCTTCTGCGATCATTAAAGGGGTTTTGAATTTTCGCACATAAGGCTTAGGACTTCCTTGTGTCACATCTGCTGGCAGGGAAGGAGATTTGACAAGCGGGAATGGAATTGTTCTCTTTAATGGCGAGGGCTCCAGCTTGATCACTTCCATAACTGATGCCGGCCTTCTAACCTCTTCAGCCCTTGCACAAACTCTTTCTTCTCTCTTTTCACAGCTAACAACATTCCTCGTTGTTGTGCTCTCCATGTTTTCTTCCATTATTTTTGTGGCATTGTTTTCTTGGTGCCTCTGGACAATGCTTGGGTGAACTTTGTGAGATGTTTTCGGCTGGGGTGCTTCTGACTCTTTCGTAAGTTCTATTGGAGGATGTTTCTTGCTGTGTGGGGCCTTGCCAGGCTTAACACTGGCATGAAGCTGAGTCGACTGCTGCAAAGTGTTGTCTAGATGTTTGAGGAAATGTTCTTTCCTTTGGTTTGCCTGATGAACAGCAAAGGGCTGAGGAACAGGAGATGAAGCCAAAGCCACCAATTCATGCTCATCTTCAATAGGGGGCGGAGTTGGAGGAGGAAAATGTTCATATTCGGCTTTAGCCTGTCCTATGGGGGGCGGAGGGGAAGGAAAGCTTTGTCTGTCAGAAGCCATCATGAAATGAGTCAGAGGAGGAGGAGGAGGCAGAGGAAGATCTGCTTCAGATGAAGTCACTGAGATTGGGGGCGAAGGGGGAGGGGGAGGCGGAGGCGGAGAATCAATTTCTGTCCTGTCTGGGCCTTTGGGTTTTTTGTTTGGATTCAGTGGATTTTTCACCACACCTCTGAAGTCCGATGCCACAGCTTCCACTTTAGCTTTTCCTTGAAACTTCACTGTGGATTTTTCATTTTGCTGGATAATGTCTTGCTTCCTCTCGGCTTCTTTAAATTGGCTGTGCATTTCCTGGGTGACTCTGACTTTTTTATTGGTTTTAATATTCTGCTCTGATGCCATGGAAACCTCCGCTTGGGTCGCCTTAACATTCTTTTTCTTCTCTTGGCAAACTGCCTTTGAATACTGAGATTGTTTTCTATCTTGCTGCGCCCCTTGCGCTTCAACATGACCAGTTGCTTTGGAAATCACGCCAGTTGACATGTTGACCAGCTGCTCCGCACCCCTGCGATGAGAGCTGTGCTCACGGGCCGACAATTTTGATTTTTCTTTCCTCTCCTCCTGAACGCTCATGTCAAAATATTCTTCATCTTTACATTCCTGGAACACATTCTGCTTCTTTCCAGTCATTACTTGCTTTGCAGACGGTCCAACGCCGGGTGAACTGCCTTTCCTCAGCATCCCACCTCCCTCTGACTTCTCTGTTCTTTCGCTTTTCTGAATACTGCTAGGAAGAGCAGGTTGATCAATCACATATTGATCTGTATGACTTTTTGCTTCCCTTTTCACAATGTTCTGGACTCTGACCTTATTCATGGACTTATCCCCTTTCTCTGTGACCTTGTGCTGGGAATTAGATAAGCACTTCACATTTTTCTTATCTGACTCATGTGCCTTGCCGCTCCATTTCTGAACAGAATGGATTGCTCTGGTGCCTCCAGTGAGAACGCTTGTCTCCCCAGACTTCATTCCTTCATGAAGTTCCCGGTGACATGCTTCAATATTATTTTGTGAACTTTCAGCTACATTAACTTGCTTCTTGACTAGTTGCTGAGGTGGCTCATGCAGTTGTTCGGTGAGCCTCTTCATCTCTCGGCCGGTGCCTGTTTGCTGCAGCTTTGTTTTAGTTTCTGCAGAAGTTTCAAGAAAGCTCTCTGCCTCCACCTGAACATCCCTCCTGACCATTTCCTCTTTGCTGACGCTCTTGAAAGACCGTTGTGCTGCTTTTAAAGACCTCAGTGTGGATTCAAGGTCACCTCGAACAACCTCTTCTCTCAATACCTGGCTTTTTGTGTTTCTTGCTTTCTCCAGAGATTCAATCGCTTGCTTAATATCTCCAGGGATGACATCAGGCTTTTCTGTTTCCTTCAGCTGAGAAGCCGATTCTTTAAGGGACTTCAGAATTGCAAGGATGTCAGCTTTTATAATTTCTTCCTTCTCTGTAACAGTTGTTTGATTTATGGCCTGGCTGAGGGAATTTAAAGCTGCCTTCAAATCACCCCTT